CCACGTTCAATTAGTCAAACAAAATCATCAGGACGTAAATCTAAATCCTCTTCAACTATAAAACGAAAACATGGCAAAGCAAATGTATATAATGGTGAACCAAAATGGTATTTAGAAACTTTATCATCAATAAATACAAATAATAATAATAATAATGATAATACAGCAATATCAAGTACAATATCAACTCCAATTATTGATCGATCAAGTCGAAGATTAGGTAAAATCAACAGAAAATAATTTATTTCTTCTTGGTTTTGTTTTCTATATATCATCTTCTTATTTTTCCAGTTTCAGAGAGTTCTGATGAATTAAGTAAGCGTTGACTAATAAATAAATACATAACATTTTAACATTAAATCTTCACATATCTAGAAACAACCTGTTATTATTAATATGTCTTGTATGCTTCATTAATTCTTTATTTTTGATTGAAAATATTTGAAAAAAAAAATTCATAATTATCTTTAACATTGATCTTTTTAATCTGTTGATTTATTTTTATTCATTTCAAAATATTTATATATTTGTCAATCGTCAAAATAATAGTTAAAGAATTCAACACTTTAAATTCGACTATCTAATCTTACTGAAATTTTCAGAGGAGATTATCTCGGGTTACGGACGTCACAGTAAAAAATTTCAACTCGATACATTGTATTTATAAAGAATTACTTGATGGTTATAGGTCAAAATACAGGTATCCGCATGTCGCAAAGATGACTATAAGATTTTGACTACAGAACGAACTATATGTAGGCGTGCAGAGATGGACTTTCTTTATCTAATAGTGTATACATTATCAGGTCATACTAGGTACCGTTGACATGTTAATAGATAGCGCCACATATTGACATGTCAATTAGTACGCAATAGAACTTGACAATATATATATATCATTAGATAGAGGAACTCTATCTCTGCAAACCTACATATAATCAGTTCTGTAGTAAAAAATTATTGAAAAAATTTATAGCCACTTTTCTTCACTATTTCAAATACTAGAAAGATCGGGTTAGTTTTAAATTGTAGCCAAGATGTGGCACTACAACTTAGCATAACTCAATCTTTTCTAATTTATTTTCCTAGCAAGCTCCTCTAATAAAATACGAAAAAGTCATGGAAAGTGTTAGTCTAGAACGATTGATTTTTTAGTGAACATTAAAGGAAAAATCAAAAACCCTATTGTAAGAAAAACGTAAAATAAGGTTCAACACTGTAATTCAAAACTTCTCCATAAACTGATATCAAATGAAACACACACATTTTCATTCCATTCTATGACTTTTCATATTCGAGTGTTGTATTCACTTATAATACTTAGTGATGCATGATATCCATGACTATCATTGTCAAAAGTCAACAGACAAACTTCAAAAACTTAGAAAAAAAAACCTTATATTCTTGAGTGCGAACATTCAGAAAAATCTATGTAATATCCTTAAATCTCATCATAAAATCAATAAACTATAATGCATTCGGGAATAGATGCTTTGCTCTGTCTAATGAGCTATAAATCACAAAATCGATAAATTTGACTCTTTCTGAGAGACAGAAGGCGACTTAAATAATTCTTTATATTCTTGTCAACTATATAGTCTTTTGAAATGAATATTTAAATTTGCTAATTTAATAATTTAATTCTGATTTATTTCTTTTATTTAATAATTTCAAATTAATAATTTTTTTTTGTTCAAATAGGTTCATCTTCATCTTCTCTATGTTCAACACCAAATGATCGTTCATTAGGACGTGCAATATTTGATATAAATACAATGTTAATGAGTATTGGACTTGGCCGTCATCTACCTGCTCAAATTGATGCATCTTCAATTCGAACATTTCAACAACAACAGCCACCTGTTATTTATTCAACAAATGAAACAGTAAAAACAAAAGATCATAAAAAAATCAATTCAACACCAATAATAAATGATACAATTAAACAAACAAATGAATT